AAGGAGGCAAAACCTTTTCCAAAAAACCTTGACCAAGAAATTAGCAGGGACTAGTCCAAGCAGTTGCCAGCAGTCAACACTGACTCAAAAGCACCAAAAAAAAAAAGGAAGAATTGCCGTAGTTAAAATGAGTATTCTACCAAGACTAAATTTTCTATTTCAAATTATTCCAGTTTTTATTGAGAATAAAGTATTAAACAACTGACACAGACAAGTAACAAAGTATATATGGTCTTAATAAAAGGCCAAGGATTAAATTCAAGTATTAAACAACTGACACAGACAAGTAACAAAGTATATATGGTCTTAATAAAAGGCCAAGGATTAAATTCAAGAATTTACAGGATTCAAAAGAATGAGATGGTCTAGCAGCTCTGAACTTCAGATTCAGCTGTGCCATGGATTTCAGAACATATTATATTTCCCTATAGTTCTGTCACTTCCATGGAAGGGGCTGGTCTTCTGGAGGGGCTGCAGAGATATATTTGGGTTGATGTACACAAAAGTAAACTATTCTTAAGAGACTATGCAATATTAAGTAACCTACTGAATGTTTAACTTAAATACAGGAAAAGAGTAAGTCCAGATTTCTCCCCTCTTGCTTTGTTATTGAATATCTATTTTTATGAAGGCACTAAGAAATATGCTCCTACATCAGACACTAGGCAGTAGGGAAGAGGTGGATGAAGAGGTAAAAGACTGGAAATTTTGAGAGAAATTTCCTAATTTCTATTAGAAACACCTAATAATATTGCATCCAGTCCTAGGTATTGCATCTTAGGAAGGACCTGGACCTGGAAGGTCTGAGTGTGACCAGAAGACAGCAACCAAAATGATAAGGGGCCTCATCATATTGGGATTTAAGAAAATATAGAAAGGAAAATTGAAGCATAGTCATTCACGTGAAATGGATTTCAGAAGAACCAATTTCCACATTCTTACAGGATGGGTAGCTAGATCTCGTAGACAGAAATCCTAAGTACGAGAAGGTTGGGAATTTCACAAAAATAAGAAACTGGAAGTATATGATTTAATTAAAAGAAAACTTGAGGCAACTTAGGAAATAACTGTCATTTTTAAAATTTATCTATTTAATCAATTTATATAGCCATCCATACTGTGATTCTGGGTTGCTAACATAGGGTTAAAACCAATTGTGCTGTTCATCATGTTAATAAATTACTTGAATGAGAGAATAGAAAATATGACCCTCCAAATTATATATGAGGTAGGAAAAATCAAAGGCATGAATATCGGTAGCAGTGCATGCAGAAAGGATCTGGGTATCTTGGTGGATCACAACTATGAGCCCATCAGTGTGACGTAGCTACAAAATAAACGAATGGAATCCTACACTGCATCCTGACACTGGATTGACAAGGCATTGTTCCTTTTTATTCTGTATTTCTCAAGCAGCACCTAATAATATTGCATCCAGCCCTAGGTATTGCATCTTAGGAAGGACCTGGACCTGGAAGGTCTGAGTGTGACCAGAAGACAGCAACCAAAATGATAAGGGGCCTGAAGAAAAAAGTTATAAGAATTAGCTAGAGACATTGAATATATTCAGCTGGGAGAAAAGAAGACTGCCGGGAAACAGAATAGCTGTTTTCTGGCAATTGAACATTTCATGAAGTAGATGTTTTCAGTGTTATTCCAAAAGATAAAATAAGAAGTTTTAAGTTGCAAGGAAGTACATTTTAGTTAGACATTGGGAAGAATTTCCTGACTGTTAGATAATGGAATGGACAGGAGGTGGTAGACTCTCCTCTGCTGTGGTATTTAAACAGAAGCTCTCTGTTGGACAGGCTCTAGTAGTGGATTGACGATCAGGGTAGGAGGTTGGACTAGATAATTCCAAGGTCCCTTCCAGCATTTATATTCTATAACTCTTAAACAAAAATGTTTCACAATACTTTCCAAATAATTATGGATGTGTTTTATTAGATGTAAAGCTTATTTTATTGACTAATTCCATTTCAATAATGAGATATTAATGTTGCACATTTTCTGCAGATGACAGTAAACCATTTGAAAAAGCTATTTTTTGTGACATTGAGCAGAAATGGGGAGATATAATGGGTACTTCACTTAACCTGTTCCCTGATTGTTGTTTTCCAACAACAGTTCCAAATCTCAGACATGCAGCGTTTTCAAGCACATGGCTTCCCTGCATTTAAATTGGGGAAGATGGTTTGGACTGAGAAAATTATATGTGGAAGAAAGGGAAATGACAAGTTTCTGAATTCCTAATTACTCTAGCCGAAACCAATTTTTCTACAATCAAAGGGCTCTTTTTGATACAAACATTTTCTCTGAATGAAATTAAGATTAACAGATAACATGACCAAGGTATATGACACTTACCATGCAATCCTAGAGGTACATATTCAGAAGTTAAGTCTCACTCATTTCAGCAGCCTTAACTGCAAGATTAATGGATATAGGATTGCAGCCTATTCTGTTTCAGCAAATAAAACATGTAAGTAGGTTATATGTCCTTATTTCTGCTATTTTACCTGGACTCCTGGCTGAGCAATGAATTGTTGGTCCTTAGCTTCTACAGCAAGTTCTAGACAACTGTTTCCACCCCATGCTTCACAGGAATAAATAAGAAGCTGTTCTGCCAGATCTTCATCACTGCTGTAACATTCCGTGAACAACTCTAGAGCAATTAAAATGCATAGTAGTTAAAAAGTTATTCTTGTTTTTTAAATTCTGCCTGTTAAATTCTGTATGGTAAATTTTCATGGCTCCTAAACCAGTTGTGGTTATCAATCCTTATCCCAAGGCCACAGTGGTGTGGAGAGGCTGGCAATCTGCATGGTCTGCTACCATGGGCTTCACTGGCCACTGTTTATAACCATGCCCTGGTCCTGGAGAAAAGATCAAAACTCAGTTCTAGGGCAACTGTTTTGCCTGCAGATGGTCCCAAGTTCAGTCTCCAAAGCTCCAAATAAGAACACAGCTTGAGATTTGCTACCATTAATTGGGACAAATAGTCTATCACACAGAAAGACAAACAATCAGAATTCAGTAGCAGAACCCTTACCTTGCATGCAAAAGGTTCAGATCCAAGCACCTCTAACAGCATTGCCGCAGTAGGACAACTAGGTCTTATGTCCAGAAGAGGCCCCTTTAAATGACTATACTCACGCTGAAAGGATAACCGTATGCTGATCAACCTACAGAAGCTGCCACTGTTCAGTTTGAAGGCAATCCTTAATTGTTCACCTCTGACTCAGAAATGTTGAGAACACAGAGTGAAACCTTGCCATGCCTGAGCATGACAAATATCTTCTTGCATTTCACACAAAAGGGGAAGGGGGGAAAGAAGAAAAAGAAGACTGGCCCTTTGCAATCTCACCTAGCTTAGAAAAATAGGGGGAAACTAATAAAATTCTTCTCAACTACATGTCAGTTCCTCATGTCTGGGTCACATTGGCATTTAGTTTAATTTTACTTTTATATGTATCAATACACAAACACAAATAAATAAGCATACAAATATATAATCAACACCAAACTTCAACAATATAATTTATTTGCTTCTTGAAGCATCAAAATACCTTAATAGACATTAATCTTTGTTATGCCAAAAGCATAACCTTTCTGCCAATTTCAAATCTTGATCATTACTTTTAAGTCTAGGTCACTCATAGGCCTAATAATAAGAGAGTTTTGGTTCTGTTCCTACAACATGCTAAGCCATATTATGGTTTAACACAAACCACATTATAGTTAACACAATATATTAAAGACTGTTCAATCATGGCTACCAACAATAAATACATTTGTGGTGTTTCATTCAAGTACTTTTATTTAATTAAGGGGTGGTGAATCTGTGACGCTTAAAAGGCTTGCCATAGCTTTCCTCCCAAG